GGGAACCGTGTGATTTACGCGCGTGTGCGTCGAGACAGGGAGCCGTGGAGCGTAATTTCCTCAAAACATCACCGTACGATTATCCACCCTTTAATTTCGTTCAATTACCTTATATCCTCGCAATTTGCCGCGAATGTGCGAATCGATATTAATGTATACGGCCATTGCGCGAGAGAGAGTCCGGAGGTAGTAAATAGAGAAAGTGCCGCAAGGGTTCCCGTCCTCTTGGCGCCCTACGACCGTGCACGATAATGAGAATAGAAGGGTGGCGCCGGAACACACATACACACGCACACACACATTCTCTCTCTCTCTCTCTCTCTCTCTCTCTCTCTCTCTCTCGTCTCATTCGTCGCGCTCGCCCTCTCTCTCTCTATCTAGTGTCGCGCACGCTCGGCATATTGCACATGCATAACCGTCTGAACAAACACGAGCGCGAAAGCTCGTTAGCCGAGTGAGAGAATGCACTTGGCGCGACCGACGAGGATTTAATTTCATTGACCGCCATTACGGGATTGCGCGCATAAAAAAATGTCATTCGCAAAGAATCGGTCAAGTCGACGGACTTAATCTTGCGAAGTACGCGGGATGAATTTATCAAGGAGCAGCGTATTCAATTCAACAATGTCTCGCAACTATCCTACGATATTTTGGCGTATGTTGGAAATTGATTAAAGTGACACTGTATATTAAATATGTAATACATTAGCAAATTTTCTCTTTCCACAAATTAATACACTGAGAGAAAAACTATCTTGAAATAAAAAAATTTTATTTATTTCGAAAAAGCTATTTATTCGGTGGGTGCTAATCACATATTTACTTGTATTCAAAACGTCTATTAAATATTTATTTACATATATTAAAAAATGTATATACTTAAGATAATATAATTTTTAACTAACTATTTTTATATTTTAATTTTATAAAATACTTATTAAAATTCATTTTTTACTTGGAAAAATTTTGAATTTTTTAGTTTAAAAAAAACAATATATTTAATTTAATGAATTACAGTCTGTATTTTGTGAAAATAGTATTTAAAAAATGTAAATAAAAAATAATGTACTCGATATAATATGCATATTTAATTAAAATGAAATGCCTTTGTTTAATTGAAATAAATGATTCCTTTTCATTCAAAGCAAAAGTTTCAAAAAAACAAATTTACTTGATTTAAAATAATTTTTCCTTCAGTGTATTAATAATCGTCACATCTTGGTCACAAACTGTTGGCTTGTAAAAAAATGTAAACGAGCAAGTAACACAATCTTGTCCTTTCTAATCTTAAGTTGGATTCCGATACCGAGGAAAATTTCTTTCCCGAGGAAAATAGTCGACTTGGGACCAATCAGAAAGATTCAAAAAGGTTTCGGGACGGCCATCAAGTAAAACTTTCCTCGAGAGGATGCCTAACTATAGATAGAGTTAGATAATCTCAATTTCTAATTAGAATCCTAACTTCAAATATAATTGCGAAAATATTTAGTTTTTTAACACTTGACAAATTGCAAAAAAATGTATTATTTATTTAAAATTTAAATTCAGAAAAATTTATATTGAAATAATTTACAAAATAATCGAATAAAATGATTAATTAAATTTAAAAAATTAAATGCAAACATTTAAATGCCGAAAAATTTATATTGAAACAATTTACAAAATAATCGAATAAAATGATTAATTAAAATGATTAATTAAATATTAAAAATTAAATGCAAAATATAATTTTAAAAAAATTACGGGATGATGAATTGTAAATAATTAAGTAAACTTTTGAAAATTTGCATTATGCAGATTATACGAGATCACGATAATTTTGTATCGTTAATAATACATTTGCATTGTGCATATTATATGAGATCACGATAATTTTGTAATAACCTATAATTCAACAAATTGACGGTCTCATGCATTATAAAAAAATTGATCCATAGAATTCGAGCGAGAGAATCGAGTCAAAGAAATTTCCTTCGAAGCGAAACGATCGCATGGTGGTGAAAGGAATTCCACGCCTGTGATTATTGGCAGACGCGTCCACAGACTCGAAACGGTTCTTTCGACGGAATCGGGAATAAAACTCGTTCGCAAACTCGCCTCGTTATTGAGTTATTATTGTCATTGTCCGGAGATTTGTTCGTGCCAACTTTCTCTTCGTTCCGCCGCGACGATTTGAGGATTCAACGTAGACATGGAATTATCAGCGTGCCTCTGCTTCAGCTTATCTAACATCGGGAAAGCAACCTTCCATGGTTGACCAAAAGTTATATATTTATATTTAATTCCACGCGAAAGGTATCTAATACGGCAAGAGTTTCACAAATAATACATTAATATTATCATTTAATTAAATTATTCAAGAATAATTAAAGAAATTGCACGCATTTATTGTATGTAATAATACTCTTTTCATTATTGATTAATAATTTAGCAATAAAATCAATGTGTATTTTATTATTATTAAATTAGTCTGTTATAAAATTAGCTAGAGAGACCGTTTTAATATTAATATTAAAAAGCTTGTCTGCTCGGTTTTCTTCTTTCGAATCGATTACAACGGATGCCAACCGCACATCTATGATCAACAAAAAATATATGCTAGCTATGGTTGAAAATGAGCCAACCATGGCGATACTTCAACTATTATGACTCGGAATATTTCGAGCAAGAAGGTGTGCAAACGGTTAAATTATTATTCCGCCAGCTGTGCGATCGTTAATTACGTTTACATTGAATATAAGTCAGCGCGTGTATAAGTCTCCATGTTATTTTGCGAAATTCGAGGACAGTCGTGACGACGTTACGTGAGTATTGTTCCAAGTGCTAAGCTGATACTGCGTGCACGTCGCCGCGAATATCACGTCGTTAACAACGACGTAGCTGACGTGCGAAATGTGCGTATTTATATGTGATCCTAACAGCACCGACGAGATCGCATTCATCACGCGTTTTACGAGACGATTCATTGAGTCACGAAATATTTTATACTACTCATACAAGACATTAGATTTATGCGTATTCACGCAAATGTATTTCAGAGAGAACTAATCTTTCTCTTTTCACCTCTAATTTCATTTCTTATTATCTCGTTTAATCTTTAAATTTTTTCTCAAGTGTTTCAATCATTTTATAATGTTTTTTGAAATTAATTAATTTTTAATGTTAGAGGGTGAATTAATCTTATTTTTCAAAATTTTTTTTCAGAACAAAGATTGCATTGTAAGTCTCTGCAATGTCCACGTTTTTCCTTCAATTAAGAGTGACATTTAAGAGATAAATTAAAGTCGCGTGCATGTTCGACCGATACCTGTGAGGCTGTGTACATAAGTCGCACACGTGCGAGAGATGCGTGCGTAAACCAGACGCAAATCGGATATCGACATCGACACATACACACACACACACACACTGCCCTTCGTAGGCTATTTTGCATTTAACAGGGCCGCGCCAAGGACAACGGTTGCGAATGTACCAACGCGATGTCATGCATTCCACCTATCAAGGTCGTCGTTTTTACGAATCGAAATGTGCTCCGAAATATTAAGCGGACGTGTCGAAATGAGATATAAGCAACAAACGTTAGAACCAAACGTTAGAAATTGTGGTTCGCTTTGTGTTTGTATTATTTAAATTTATTGTAATTTTAATAGCGATATAACTCCGAAGTACATTATCTCTAAAAAAAATATATCAAATATAAAAAAAAATTCTTTTGACGCAAGCTATTTGTAATATAAAATGAGGTGATAGGATACGACTACTCGTATTATTATTATAACTTGCATGTGTGATTTGATCTTATCATTGATAATTATCCTTGATCTTGATTGATAAGATTGTCATCAATCTATCGATATCGTGGACTATACAATCGCAATCTCTCAGAAAATATAACAATGTAAAAAAGAAATACTTCTGATGCCAAATTATTTGTAAAGCCATGAAATATGACTAATCGTTAATTATAATTGTCATACGCGATTTGACCCTATTATTGATAATTATGATTGGCCTTGATTGATAAGATTGTCAAGATCTATCGCGGATTGTGTAATCATAATTTATGCACTGGCGTGATATTGACAAAGACAAATGTGACTGTTTAAAATATTGAAATTTCAATGATCGTTTGTCTTCGCAAACATGAGGAGTGATATTTCGCGGTGCATTCTCGTTTAGCGTTAAATGGTCACCCGGTTCTAGATTTTAACGAGGCAAGCACTGTACACACTTCGTGTAAACAAGAGCGATGCATTAGATAGCCGCACATTTAGCACTAAATGTGTGGTGAGAATGCTGACCAGAGTATGTTAACTCTTAGCTGGTATATCTATAGTGAGAACTATGCTTTTCACTTTGCGGTCGCAAGAAGCGGCTTTCTCTCTCCATCTCTCTCTACCTTCAATATCACTCCTCACATTTTAAGCAAAAGATATATCTTTCCGCTTTAAATGTGCAAAAACGAACTGACGATATCTTTTGGATAAACATATCAATAAGCATGAAATTATATAATCGATAATAGATATTATTGATTAACATTTTAAGCACGGTAATGGTACCACATATCAATCTAGTAATATTAAGATGTAGAAAAAATGAGAAAAGAAGGAAAACAATAGAACTCTATATTAACATTACTGTTTATAATTATTCATTATTCTGTATCATCAATATTGCATCATATTAATTACTATCTAATATTATCGAACATTCAAATATTACAAAATTTATTTTAAAATACACAACTAATTTCGCGCATAAATTTTATTATGTTTAAAAATATTTAAAAAAATATATATGTATCAAAGTTTTTAATTTGTGATTTAATTTTTATTTTGCAATAATAAGTAAATAATTAGCTTCATTTTAAAAAATCCAAAATTTTTCTATTCTACTCTTGACAATACCAAAATGTTTTGTGGATTTGACTGAAGTCTAGAACGGTGCCATTTTGCCGAGCTTAAAATGCTAAATGATCTCATGGAAATTACACTCACCTCGATAAGGTGCCCTTGAGCAAAGGATTCCTGTCGTCATAATATCCGCCGCCGGACGAAGGCATCTTCAAGTAATCCAAACAACGGGCACGTGGCACTGGTCACTAACACTACGGCACTGCATCACTACATCAGTTGTTCGTGTGATCTGATCCACTGCTTTAGCTCTCCATTCACCACCGATAATACACTGCCGGTAGTCGCGATGACGGTTTATCTCGGCGGTTGTTACGCGCGCGATGCATCGTCCTTCCGGCGACGATGACAGCAGCTACTACAACGGTTACGATGGGAACGACGACAGAATAAAGTACCGTACATATCGCGACTTATTTACGAAGGAAGAATTATCGCGTCCCTCGACATTGAAAATGGAATTAATTTCCAAGTGTACGAGCTTCGGAGAACACAAGGATATTTATCAAGATAGCGTCCGTCGCACGTCTTATCCTTCCTCTTTCTCTTCCTCTTCGTATGGAATTCTGCCTTCTCGTCTTATCAATATCGCCGTACGAACAATCTCACGATGGTGTTTCCTTCGATTCTTTCATAAACCCTCGTCCTCCATGTCTTCGCTTCTTTTCCTCGATAGTTCAACGGTGTCGAACACACTTTTTTCGCGAGTTACAGCTGATCGATTACGCCTCACTGTCCTTTAATAAGCGTAATTTGTCATCACGTCAAACTGACGACTCGCGCAGGCAAATAATATTCGGCGAAACATCCAATTTCGATTTCACTCGGCGCCGATCAACAAACGTTAACGGAGAGAAAACGATCGTCGAAATGGTGATTTACCGTCAAATTTCACTACACAAGGCACGCTTCCCATGGCCAGCACGAAGTGTATCACGCTGTAAACAAACTCACCGTGAAGGACGTACACTCGAGCACGATAACTCGATCACGATTCCGTCCGAAGTTCAAGCGACCAAATGATATTAGCCACCGGTTGACTGATCGACTGCGCCAACACGCGTGCGCGAACACCACAGGATTGTTCCCCTCCTCTCTCTCTCTCTCTCTCGGCGTCTTACGTTAACCAGATGTGGCGTCGCGACGACGGCGTTGCTTCGTCGACTCGTTCGAGAATACCTCCGGCTTATCCGCCCTCGCTGTCCTCCTTTACCTGCGGGCAGAATTATAGTTTCTCAGATCTCGACGCTACTGGCTCCCGGGATTCACGCACGTGTAAACTCACGCACCATCTGGCCGCGGGGCTGCAACTGGCCGCGTCAACACGTGCAGCCACCGCTACCAAACATGGCCGCCTGTCAATCCCCCCCTTCCCCCTCCTCCCGAGCGTCGCTACCTCAGCAGAAGACACGACGTCGCGCGCGATCGCTCTCTCGGATTCGTCGCGAGATTTACACGCCTCGTTATCGTTATCGACTCTCGCGACCGGCTCGCGGCAGACCCGCCGCAGATTCCTGGTGCTGTCGGTCGATCGCGCGAAATCTGTTACGATTCAACGCCGCCGAAATCGCGCGCGCGATACGCTTTAATCGCCCGAGTGAAAGTGCGCCGAGCGCAGCTGACAGTCGCTCGGGCGATCTCGCGTCGCCGTCTCTCCCCCCCTTCCTTTTCTCCCCCTCCCATTCTTCGTCCCCGAGCCTTCCCTCGCCCCTCGTTCCCGCTTTTCTCGCAACTCTTTCTCCCTCTCTCTGTCTCCCTCTTTCCAATCGGTCCGCGCGCGAAGGCTACAGTTGACGTAAACAAACGGAATATTCCCGCTGGTCGCGCGAAAGTAAAGGCCTATTTAATGGAGCAATTTTTTTGTAACGATTCACACGATAGTTTGTCGATCGGACAGCGATTAAGCTTGATTGATTCGTGTTTTTTCTGTCGCTCGAAATATTGTACCCAATTAAAACTTGCGAATTAAACGAGTAACCGAAAGCGTGTTCAGCAATGATATTCTCTATTTTTATCTCTCGTCATCTAAGCTTGCTAATTAAAAAGTAGCTTGTGAGAATGAATTTTAATCGTTCGCTGCGATCAAGTTTTTCAGAAGCAACTGCACGAGCCGAGCATTCTCTTCGCGGAGATAAAACCGGAAATTGGTAGTTTAAGATCGAGAGAGAGATAATTTCTATGTCTCATTGTCAGTCTTCTCTTTCTTTGTCAGTCTTACATTGAATAACAAGATATTATTCTCGACATCAGTGGTCGCTTCAAGGACACGTATAATATAATAAGAATGTGTAAAAAAATATTGACAATAGATAAAGCGTAGTCAAATTTCAAATTATTTCATTTTAATCGTAATACCTACGGTATCTAATGTCACGATTGGTTATCGATATTTATCTCGGCGTGATTAAGCGTCTATCTCACACGTACACGTATACTATTCAATTGACAGCGAGTAAATATTTATTGAAAACATCGAGGTGGAGTAAAAAAGAAAATATTCAAACAAGTAAATTCTCTTGCTATCTTAACCTGAAATTATCATGAAATTCGGCGCCATATTGGAGTCGTACAAGCACTTAACCTACATACATAATTCATTGTTCCAGGCTCAATTCTACGATACTTCCAATTTCAAATCTATTTCATTCTATTTCGTACATTTAATTCCTTTCTTAGTTCATATAATGACTAATATATAACCGCTAAAATTCTCCGTATATGGAAGAATTTGATAGAAGAACAACACCATGATGTTAAAGGCACGCGGTGAAATCCAGAATAACGTTATTACGATGTAACTGTACCCCATTACAATATAACGTTCACACAGATCCTTCTTACCTCATTCGAGATTCTTGAAAACACAATCTTTTTTTCGAAAGTCTTTGTCTCAAGATCTGTGCCAGGCTTCGCGATCTTCTTCCGACCGAAGTGTGCCGCAACACGACGCCGTCCTCCAACATCTTAGCATTCCCCTCCGCAAACGTGAGCGAGCGATATTCGGAAATTGACCACGGGAGAGGGTAGGCACGCGCTTCCGAACGCACGACGAAGGTGCTACGCGTGTCGTCGTAGAGCGGAACGGCACCAGGTGAGGTGGTTTATTTATAAACGGTCGCGAAAACAGAGTGAAAAGAACGTTTCCTCGATCTGTGACGCTTCGTAAACTGCAAGCGCGAGCTCGCGGCGTCACGTGATCGCAAATCCGCTCGCGTGATTGGACGCCGGCTTCGAGATGTTCCGCCGAGTCGAGTCGAGCCGAGCAAGAGCGAAGCCAGCTCGGATTGAGCCGACTCGAGCCGAGTCGAATCGAGCCTGACACATTGAACTATCAATCTGAATCTTTTCATTACGGAAGTATTCATTATTATACCAAGAAGATGTTTATTATCGATTGATTTCTTCCTCGAAGAGTATAAATATCTGAAAATCTACTTCAAACTTGTTCGAATATTTCGAATATTTTATTTTTCCATCTCTATTAAAGTGATACTTTTTGCACGTGATTAAAAAACTAGGAAGAAAATCATAACATTTATAGTGTTTGAAAAGAAATTGGAATTTCTTGAAGTTTCTCAATTTTTTATTATTATTTTTAAATTATTTTCTTATCAAATATATATCGCTGCATGTGTACTTCTGTATAATATATCTTATATTTTGTGTATATATTATTGAAATAAATTTCATGTAAATTTCATTTTATTAGTAGTAATATTCCTTTTATTAAAATCATTAATACAAAGTAGGAGAAGACTGCGATATGAAATCTCAATAATAGATTCAATAAAAGCCAGACCACAGATGGTACGCAAATATTTACAGCGATATGTATGATTGCTTTGGTAATGATCGACAAACATGAAATGAATGTATTTGAACTGCTTCTTAATGCTTCTTTAATTTAGCTTGTCATTAAAGAGAAAACGAATCGATATATATATATATGATTGTTTTTTAATAATTGTTAAACATTTCGATTTGCTTGTATATTTTTCTTACATTATTGATATAAATATTTTAAACCTATATCTGTACAATCTGTCTTTATAATTACGGCTAATCTTCTATCAAGAAACAAAAAAATAAATATATAAAAAATTTCCAAAAGCTCACATCATCCTTTTAAAAGAAGAGGATACACATGTCTTTTAAAAACAAGACAAGATTCACTCTTGTCTTAAATGTTAGAATGTATGGTTTTGCAATAAAAATAATAGAAAAAAATTTACTTAATTAAATTTAAATTTAATACTATCAAAAAAAATAGTTTAAAATTTTTCCGGAAATTATTTTAAAAGACAAAAATTTGAGAGATTAAAAATTAAAAATATTGTAAAAAAATAAATACTACAAGAAAGATTTAAAAAGGTTTACATTCTAGAATTAACGCAGATTAGCCGCTACTCTTATCTATAGAAATTACTGCCTCGCGACCAGCAGACCGAACTCGATCGGCGCCATTCTTGCGAATCTCGATAAAACGTTATGTGAAGCTACTTGTTTATCTTAATGTCGGCGTGATAAGAAAAAAAGCGCGTAAACAAGAAGTGATAAACTCGGCATAAATTGACGTAAGATTAACTATCGCGTAGGGCGCGTTTCGAGTTTACCAATTACAAATCGCTAACTAGCAATGTCATTAGCGTTATCAAAATTCCCAAGTATATCTGAAAGTCTGATTGTGGTGTTCCTTGCCCGACAATTCTAACATTCTACATTCATTCCCTAAGTTTTCAGAAAAGCAATCGCCCAGTTAATCGTATAATATTGAGACTACGTACCTACATCAGTGTTTCTTTCTAATTTAATTTCTAAGAAAAATGTTTGATAGCTGCATTTCGCTATAAATTATTTGAACAACTTACAATTTTTCTTAAACAAATGCGTCGAAATAATATTCAAAGAATCAAAAGCTCTTTGTCAGGAACAAAAAGAATTGCAAAATATTTCGTAGTTTTTGAAATGACTAACAAAAATTTTAGTTTAGTTACAAGAATTTACAATGTCAACATCAGAAAAGGTATACAATTAACAATAGGACAATATGATTTCTGAAACGTCCCTTGGAAACAATTCGAAACTGATTGAACGAACTGTAAAATCACTAGTTCCTTATTTGTAAAAAAAAAAAAAAAGAAAAGAAAAGAAAAGAAAGAATGCCAAGTTTCTAAATGCGTGCAGTGATTTATGATCGCCTCGGGAAGGCTTAAAAGGATAAAGAAGGTCGTGTTATGATTTGAATCCTAGGAATCCTTCCCGTTACAACATTCCATGTTACAAATCGCAATTATTCCTTTCTCTCACTTTCAGCTTTGCCGCCTTCACATCTCTATGCACTTTCACCGCGTGCGTCTTCTTGCTCCGCCCGCAAACTCGAATTATTATTCTAGCGATATCGAAAGTCCCACGATCGACGCGAAAAACTTGTTATAATTTAATAATCTGTAAAGAACATTTCGAGATTTCTCTCTTATTTTTTAAAAGACGCTCTTTCCCCAACACGAGAAAAAACAAGAACTATCCGCAAAGAAATAATTAACATCGGAGATATAATTTTGAAGAGATCTACAGAAAATGTTTGAAAAATCTCGAAGCTTTCTTCGATCTTTTTATAATTAAATATTTGATAATGTCGGATTTTATTCGAAGAGCTATCTGTAATTTTCTTTGCAAAGAGGGCGAGTAACTATCGTATGAAAACATCAAATCAAAAAACTAATTTCAATTCGAAACTCGGAAATCCCAATAATCTGTAATTTTCGAATGACCGATAAATTATACGCTTCAAAGGAACCGATTCGGAAGTGCGTAAATCGAATGATTCGCCTCTTGAACGGGAAAGGGGCATAATTTGAGGTTCCTAGAAGAAAAAAGAAAGAAAGAAAGAGAGATTCCAAAAGCGGGGCATTCCATGCGAGAGATTCCACGAGCGCGGCCGCGCTGAAAGTTACGCCGCAATAATTCGCGCGCAGAGAAATACACACGGCAGATCGAAACACCGGGCGAGAGATATCCCTTTATATGAACCGGTTGATACACACCGTTCTCGCCAAAGTCGAAAGTATTCGGTGTTACAAACGACCTACTCGTCGAGTCGCTATTTTCGCGAGTCGTTAAACGGCACGGATCGACTGGCGGCGCGCTTCATTCTCTGCCGCTCGGATAAATGCAATTCAATAGGATGCAAATGTATTGATGCATCTTAAATGCGATGCGATTCAAGGGGGCCGTCCCGATCGGGTACCTTACCCTATTTTCTACGGCAGCATCGCCTATTATTTTCGCCGACTACAAAATAGCATCTTGCGCTTTTGCGTAACAACCTCGAGTGAAAGAAGCGCTTCTCTGTAGACCTCATTTTCGTAATTTTTCTCGAAAAGGAAAGCATAAATCATATTCCGATGAGAGAACTGCGCGCGTGTTATTTAATTATATTAATTATTAAAAGAATTGAGAAAGTTACTAATTAAAGAAATCAAAAGGGAGAGTTAAATGAAAAAGAAAATCTTGAATGTCAAGATATTAAAGAAGATGTGAAAAATAAAAAGATAATAAGAGTATATTTTTTTATTCAGGATATAAAATTTATTCCTTGATTTATTTTTTGGACCTTCAAATTTCACAAACATGTTTTACTTTCCTACTTTTAGATTTCAATCGATTAAATTTATATAAATAATAATCATGTAAATTTAAATATGCGCTTTTTACATTTTCCAATTTTGCTATCTTTTAAAAAAAATTACATTCGAGGTGTACATTTAAGCTTCCATGACGCAAGCATCGTTATCTCTTAGTATCGAATAAGCAAAATTGAATTCCATAGTTCATCGACGATTTGTGGTTACGTTTTGCGTATTCTGTCCCACATGTCAGAGTCCTTCGCTTGTTGGGTAAATGAAAATTGGCAGAGAGTAAAAAGAAAGAGCGACGTTAAATATATGTTGGAAAATCGGTACCGTAAGCGCTCCACTTCTCTCTCTCTTTCTTTCTTTCTCTCTCGTTCCCTCTCTAAAAGAAAACCGCTCCGGAATTCGCACCTTGGAATGCAAGACGACGAGACTTGACTTGTTAACACGAATACAACTTGTTCACGTAACCGATTTTTCCCCTACTAAAGCCGACCGATTTTCCTTCGATGTTGAATGCATTTAATTTTTACTCTGTGTATCATTAAAATATAATGATTATAATTCGTGATATTCTTTGACAAAATAATATTTCTCTATAATTTAGATAATTTAATAATTAATAAATAATTTAACTAATTAATACTTTTCATTTTAATTATTAAATTAATAATAATACACTCTAATGTATTATTATTAATTTAATAATTGAAACATGTGTTGTAATGTTAATATATTAGTATATTTATTGTTATATACAGCAACATGCAAGTAGCGTTACTAAAATTAAATTTGTTTCACTAATTTAACGTGTAAAAATTATAAAGATAATATTAATTCAATCAAATCAAATCACTACTTTGCCTACAATTATGTTCTGTGATTTCCTAATTGTTATATTTCTAAAAATTATCGTTTAACATTACGGAAATAGAGTATTACGGAAATAGAGCATTACGGAAATAGAGTATATAAATTTTGATCGAATCTTAAGTCCTTCTTCCGAAGGAAGAATTTCGAAGAAAATTCGAAGAAAATGTCACAGCTGTTCTTAGATCGCTTCGAATTTGCTTAGGTAAGACACAATGCATCGCGATTGCGATTGAAATCCTTCGACCGGAAAGGGTTAATCTCCGGAGGATACTCGAACCGAGGTGAATTTTCTGCTTCGAGTTACGGAAAGAGAGGGACTCGACTCGATTCAACTCGATATATGTACGTGTGCGCATATGTGTGTATGTGTGTCGACACGACGTCGCCATCGTAATCTTGTCCACGCTGTTTTCCCCACAAGCAGCTTCGCACCTCTCGCTTGCTCTTCTCATCGACCGATACTTCACACGTGAACGCGCGCGTTCCGGCCTCACAAACATAATTACATCCGTGAAGTATCGTTGACACGACAAATATTTTGTTATTTCAATAAAACTACGTCATTAGATCAATCGGATATTTCTGTCGAATTAATGAAATTACAACGGAACGTTCATCATTCAAATTAATGTAT